GCTAATAAAACAAGGTCGTCTGCAAACAGCAACCTTCTCGACTTCACATCTCCTACACCAATACCCTCATTGCCCTAGCAGCTCCTGACTATTCTATCCATGTACAAGAAACAGGATAGGGGGCAGGACGCAGCCTAGGCGGAGACGAGTGCGAATATTCAATGGTTTCGACTTAACGCCATTAACTCTGATGCAGCACCTGCTATCAGAATACAGTGATCGAATGGCCCTTAGCAGCTGGCCATCTATCCCGTATGCACGAAGGCATGTCCACAGATTGTTGCGTGGGATCCGGTCATACCGAATTCAAACGTCGAAAACTGTAAAGTAAAGCAATTTAGTTCAGAGCAATGTTGCACTAGCGTAAGCCGGATAGTGCAAACTCTGTTTAACAGTTTTCCTCTTATAAATCCGGTATCAACAGTTAAGAAATAATAGCCGTGGCGGCGGAAACGAAATGATGCTATCCTTGGTTGTTACCCCAACTCACTGCGGTTATATTTTGAATCATTTTCTAGCTATTTAATTATTTATCGTTTGATACAATTTTTTATATAACCAATGACACAACAACGACTAAATATCAGAAGACTAAGAAGGTGGTGCCGTTATTTGCACAAAAATAAATTCAGTACAACCTTCAACGGTGTACAAATACATCCCGTGGCTAGTCCATTGATGAGCGCATCGTACACTTACTGCTAGCCTGTGTCAACTGAGTTTCGGTAAAGAAAGTCGTTCCTTCAGGTTTGAATAACACTTAAATGGTTCTAAAACCTTGTCTTTCGTGCTTTTACAGTGACAAACATTTGCTGAGTTATGAGTTATTGAACCCTGTCTTTTGTTCCATTTCACTATTCCCATAGGTACTGAGGCAGTGACGAGAACTGTAATTTCGTGAAAATGATTAAAGCTATAAGGTAGCATTAACGAAGTAATCAACAAAAAAGCACTTTCAGTCTGAGAGAAATTAACTCAACTAACACAAGTCATCATTTATTATTAAGAATGAATCATCACCAAAAAACACCAAAATCCGCGTAAAATCGAAGCCAACGAATAGAATAGAGTTGTTAATGAAAACGTGCATGACTCTTTTAATATCCCTACATTGATAGTAATGCGACATCGTACTACTTTATGATTTTAGTTGTTGTACCACTGATAGCCATTTGATTCGTGCACTAATTTTTCCTGTAAAACATTTTAAAGGAAATTAACATTACATCAAAGCCTACTGGTCAATCATGATAATTTTAGGTTATCATTCACCTTCAGTAAAACCTCAGGACATGACTTCTATGAGAAAATGTTCATGAACACAAATTTAATACACAAAGTTTCGCGGCGTTATGACTTTCATTCTCTTCTTCAACATGCCTGCAAAACCATAAAAACAGGCAACTGTTCATAAGCAATTCCGACTTGGCAAAGTTGACTTAACTAATAAAACAATGCAAGACGCATCCACGCAGAACAAGTGATCGCTTAATCTGCAGTCTGGCCCAAAGCTGCTGCCGGACGTGACGAAAATCAGCTGAACGCAGTTAGCCTCCACAGCGAAAAATGAAACATAACAGATAAAGCTTAATAACGATAAAATAAAACCCTGATGTTCTTGGGCACCTATCGATATCGCCGCTGAAAATATCACATAAAAAAGTGATACCGGACTGAAATAATGACTGCAGGTTGAATAAACTTTTATTCAGCTGTAGTTTGAGACGCGGCCCTGCATCATATGCACTACAGGCGCTTAAATACCATGGAGTCATGGCCTGCTTAAATAGTCTTTCTAGATGTCCAGAAGCAAAGGAGAAGTGCAAATAGTGTTGCTGGTGTAAAATGAGGATTAGATTTTCATTCTGAACATAGTGCATTTTCACCGCTCCAATCCGGTATCATTATTTTTAATCAGAAACTTTAACCACCTTTAGCAAAAAGACAATTTTTATGTTAGACGTCATCAATCACTTATTTCATGGTGGTTCAATTGTAAACAATAGCAATATCAGTTGGACAAAATTTACGACATGGAGTTGGAGAATATCCGTTATAAGGGAAGTTTTAAATATCATCCAAATAGTTATTTTACGTCATTTGTGGGTTGTTTCCAAGTACATATTTTACCTGGTACAGAGCTTCATCGCATGTTGCTTGGACACCAAGGTTCATCATGGTATTCGTAAGGGTTCGGCCCATGTAAAATTCCAACGATAAATAATACACTCGCTGAAAGTAAAATTAACATTAAAACAAGAACTTGACTGAACCGTTTACACAGTGATTACATTATAACTCAACTTAAAGCACAAGACAGGATACAAAGGCGGAGTCTAAAAATAAGAACTAATTACTTTATGGCATGAATCGACAGGTTCTAGCATGCTTTTGGCATTATCGTGGGTATAAGCATGAAAATGACATAAAATTATAAAAACGTAATCGAAAAAAATATTTAATTGAAAATTTGAATATTTGTACACAATTACGTATAAAACAATTCTGCATTAAATTCCAGCTTTGATGATCACATCAGAACAAACCGCAGCTGAGGGATTCACTTAAGTCCAAAAAAAACTCCCATTCACATCCTGAGCTAATCCGATAAGATCACCAGGATTCGATTGGCCGGTAGCCAAGTTAGTCGGTAACTGTTGGAATGTCATGAGTGAACCATCTTGGCGCTCTTCTTTTTATGAATTTGATGGTATGGTGCTGATATCCGCTTCTACAATCAGCCATGAGTGCCTTATCTTTTAAGGCAGAGACTACATTCACGTGGGAAGCGTAGCGTGCAGTTTCCTCCTTTCTTTCCTACAGAGTGGCACTCATTTATCAACCCTCAGAAAGAAAACGAGCGAGTGACCATAACTGGGCCTTGAAATCGGAATCTTTCGGTTCTAAATTCGACACTCTACTGATTGAGAAATCCCGATATGAAGCG